TCATGATAATAATTGATTCGATCATTTTTATGAATGTATGGTACATGCCATAAGGGAATGCTCAAAATTTTATTTATCTGATTTTAGCCAAATATAAAAGAAATTAAGAAAAATATTCAATTTTATTTTCTTCCATTGTTTCAATGTGATATCCATTGCATAAAAAAGTTATGCAAATATATTCCATATTATTTTCTCCCATCGCCTCAACATGATATCCATTGCAATGGATATTTTTAAAATTAATCAAATTTCTTCTGAACTGACTAGAATAAAGTGTACGATTAATATATAATTTTGTATCATTTGATAAAATAATAAAAGCTCTTATGGAGTTTTCAACAATATTCAATGCACCCGATATTATATTAACATTATTTTTTGCTAATATTAAGTCCAAAAAATACTTTTTCTTAAAAAATATTATTCAACTATGCAGGTATCTTGATAATTCATCCTTAATTTATAAACATGACAAAATAAATATTTTTGAAAATTAAATTATATCAAAAGGAGGTAAGCAATACTTTAATCAACAAGAAATAATTTAACAACGCAATGTCTCAAACTTTAAGGAACAATAAGAAAACATACTTCAAACAGACTTCTAAATTAAAATTAACAATTAAGACACTGAAAAATATACTAATCAATATTATTGAACATACCTCCTCTAATCAAATGATCAATATTGTCATTTTGGTCATTAAAAATATTAGAAATGTTTAAGTGAGTCACATCAATTCGACCGTCAAAATTAACAATCTTTTCTTCATTTTTCTCTTTTCCTTTGATTGATTTTTGATAGAGATCCACAAAATATTTTATTGTACGCGTGCTCAATTCCCTTTCATTCCATATCTGAAATAACTTTCTTTGTTCTCCTTTTTGGATGAGTTGTTTTCATTTGCTCTAAGCTTCTTAAAATTGTTGCCTTGTTGCGATAGTTTTGTTGATTATTTTGCCAATAATCTTGTCCACATTCGCGTCCACATCCATTTATTGCATGTGCTTCAGAAAATAGTACAAAATCAGATGAATGTAATCCATGATTTTACATCAAAAATTCATTATTTTATTTAGTTATCAACAAACAAGATATGAGTTCTAAGTACCTTTTGAAATCACACTTACGATATTCTTACTATATAAGTATATTCGAGACATGAAATATAGAAAATATTTTCTCTAATATATCTTCATCAGTGATATTTTCTCCACTCAAGGTCAATTTCGAATGTATTCTGAGCAATATGTATTTTCTATAATATTGAAATTAACATTATGCTCTTCAGGAGCAAATAATATTCCTTTAAAATGTTAATAATATTGTGCTACTTTATGAGTAACGACAAATTATTATTTATACATATTAAGTCTTCAGGAGTATTTTTCTAGCAGAATATTAATATTTGCAGATTGTGCTTCTTTAAAAGCAACAACGTGATACATTATGAATTAAAATTTGCACAATGAAGAAGTATACATTAATAATTTTCATGCACAGTAATTAAGAGATATTTTACAGAATCAGAACATTAAAAAATTGGCACAAAATGATTGCCAGCCGGTGAAGGACTATTCAAATAATGACCGGCGCATGACATAATAATCACATCACGCAATATACAATTAACAGGCACATGTTAGATATATGGAAATCACTGTCCAAATAATTGGAATATTGATAAGCGTTAAATTTACACTTATTTAAACCATTAAAAGTGACTTTTATTGATATTATTATGAATTTTGTAATAAAATCTACAATTTTGAGATCAAATTTCACACTTTGAAAATTCAAGAGATTGAAGTCAATATGATCAAAGTCGATGGCAAAAAGCAATATGATTGAAGTCAAATAAAGCCTTGGAATTGGAAAATGAATCAACTTCAAAAGGGAAGTACGGGTGGATTGAGAATCTAATTGGGCTGAAAATAAGGAAAGAAAAAAGGAGAGCAGGAAAAAAAAAAGGAAGAAGAGAGAACCCTGGCGGCGAGAGGAGAGAAGACGGATACATGACGACAGGAAAGAAAATCAGGAGAAAAGTTCAATATTCTAGTGCAATTATTTCGTCAATTGTTCAATAATTTGAGGAAAATTAATCACGTTCATTGTCGTTACAGTCGGGAGATTTATACTACGCAAGGAAGGAGACAAAGAATATTATTGGAATTCGTATGGCGAAGATTAACAATAGTTGGGAGGATTTTTATCTTGTTGAGTGTAATTGAACCCGGTGATGTTTTCCAACTTTTATTTGTTTGATTTCAATATTATTAGTGGCTAAATACTTTTTATGTTAGGATGTACGAGATAGATTAAGGTTTTTATATTTGCTTAATTCCAAGCTTTTCACGTCACTTTAATACGTGTTAATTAATTATTGTGTGT